CCAATGTAGAGTCATAAACCATGTAGTAGCTGTAAGGCAACTCCTACCTTGACAGAGGAGACCCTAGTGAATGGGTACCTCACCCCTTTAATATGATATAAGACCCAAACCTGACAATAATATCTATAAGGCAACTCCTACCTCGGGAGTAGGGTCTCCCTACTAGGGTCACTAGGGTCTCCTCTATCGAAGTAGAAGTAGCCTTATAGATATTATTGTCACATTTGGTGGTCTTGTATATCCATTAGTCGTAGACCCCGTATTAAGGCTGTTCGCTCCTATGGTTATTATTGGGTTGATCCGTTTACTGCTTTAACTCTTTACACAGACCTTACCTTACAGGGCTCATGCCAGCGTCAATAAAGCCCATTTTTTCTCTCTTGGTGTCTGTAGGTTATCAGGTCCTGTTTAGGAAGGGCCACCACTGGGAGTAGCAGGAGCACTCAACAGTCCACCAGCTCCTTAGGAAGAGCTACAATAAGTTTCTCTTTTCAGGCTTTTTTTTCTTTATTTTCACCTTGTAATCATGCAAGTAACACACTTTCTGTGCCTGGGCAGCTACACTTACCCCTCCGCTATATATATGGAAGGAGTGTGGGTATCCACCCGAGCTCGACTACAAATATGTTTGTCTTTGTACATCCCAATTACATGGGGATGGAGACATTTGCAGTTTACAGAAGAAATATACCATTGTTTATGCTTTCAGTGCAGCTCACAGGATGCTGCATTTCTTGCAACACAATAGGTATTTTCTGTACTTGCTGAAAGTATTCTGAACCTGAAAACTTCAACTTAAGGTGCAATATAATATATTTTTGTGTTCTTGGGTTGTTATCCTTTAAATATAGTTTTGTTAAGTGTCTTTTGAGGGGAACAGAAAAAAACAATAAGCCATTCCTGTGGAAATATTATAATGCTTTTTTATAGCATTTTGTGCGTGAACTGAACATAATCATGGGATAAAATCCTAGTTTTAAGTAACTCATTCAGAGTGACCGTTATGAAGTAACACCCTATATCTAGAGCTGCATGATTAGCATTAGATGATAGTAACAGTGACGCTGTGGTTTGTACTTCTGCCATGCAGCACTCAGGGTCCCCGTTTCAAATTCCGGTCGGGTCACTAACTCTGCAAGGAACCTGCATGTTCTCCCTGTGCTTGTGTGGGTTTCCTCCGGGTACTCCAGTTTCCTTCCACATGCTAAAGACATTCTGGAAGGTTAATTGGCTCCTGTCTAAATTGTCCCTGTATGTTTGCATGTGAGATCGGGACCTTAGATTGTAAACTTGAGGGCAGACTCTATTGTGAATGTGCTCTATGTAAAGCGATGTGTAAGTTGTCAGCGCTATATAAATACCTGTAATAAAATATATAATTAAATATACAAAACATAGTAGGTTAGTGTGTTTGCATGGCCCACTGAGTGATAACCCCATTCATAAGTATAGATCATACACCACCACACATGTACGGTGTGAACAACAGGGCACTTAGAAGACGACATGAACATGGTGTGAAAAAACCCTTCAGATTGATGGAAAACCTGTTTCTGTGCTTAAAGACCTAAACTTACTTACTTATAATTTGGAGGAACTCCAGGAATGTAAAAAGTTAACCTTTGCAGTGGGGCTTCCCCCTGCACTGCATGGGTTCACTACTCATTTTGTCTAGGGGGTTGCTAGACCACTCCCAGACGCCCTCTTTTCCCCTGGGCTCCGATGGTCTAGGGACTGTTGATGTCATCAGGGCCGGATTTCCCACAAGGACAACTGAGGCCTGGCCTTAGGGCAGCAGGGGTGTGGAACTCCTATCTCCCGACGCCCGGAACAAGCAGTTCTGGGCATCAAGCGGGTAGTTGTTTTCTACATTTAGCCCTGCTTTGGGCAAGCTGGGCTAAATGTACAGCGGGGAAGCCACCGTTTGTTTTGTACAAGTGATCTTGGCGATGCGATGCCGCCAAGGTCACTTGTATGCAGCCTGCATACAGGGGGCCACATTGAGGAACCTGCCCTTGGGGCAGCAGAGAGAGTAAATCCGGCCCTGGATGTCATCACGTCTAATGCAGGTCCATTCGTCTGCTGAGGGACATATTACAGCCGGAACAGAGCGGGAGCGAGGTGAGCACCCACTGCTGCGGGACAGAGGTTTAGGTGAGTGTTCCCGCCACTAGAGAACAACAAGCACTTAACCCTTGCAGTGAGGAGGTAGCCCTACTGCAAGGCTTAACTTTTTAATCTGCTTGTTGCTAGATACTAAATACATAGACATATGTATTTAGATACTAAAGACATAGCCATTGCATTTTGGGGGCTCATACAACTACCTCCTTCATCAGGGCTTACTAAGGGGGAACGTGTATACAGTGATGTATTCAGCTGCTGACTTTGGCTGTCAGATTTATTTGACGAGCTCTATGCATTACACACATTAAACAAAACTGTGTCCAATTTATAACCATCACAGTCCTAATGCATGTTCTCCCTTACTTTCAGATTTCGAGACCGGATGGGGAGATCAGACGGTGGAATGTGCTGATCTCTCCTCCGATTTGGCCACAGAAACCGGCCGTGGCGGAACCAGGGCCACAGCGAGGACAGCGGAGCCTGAGATAGCCGGCGGTGGAGGGGGGCACACACTTCCCCCCTCCATACAAGCATCCTGAGGGCTCTATAGCTGCAACAAACACATGGATACATGTTAGGGGCTGCACTGTCCCTTGTGATCCCTAAGGGACAGGTAGTTCAGGGAAGCCAAGCTTAGAGAGTTGAAGCTGTCTGGAAACATGTAGAGCTGCAACAGTTAATCGATTTAGTCGATTAAAATCGACGATTGAAAACGTTGGCAACGTTTTCGATCGTCGATTCGTCGGCTATCAATTGATTTGCCTGTTCGGGGCTGTTCCGGGCTCCACATGCGGCCTGAGCCACACGTCCCACGCTGCTCCCGCTGCGGCCGCCGTGCCCACGGCATCAGTGGTAATCTGCATTGCGCAGTATAAATCATTATACAGCGCAATGGAGAATACCACCAGCTACAGAGGACTACAAATCCCAGCAATAATACATTATATACAGCGCAATGCAGAATAACGCCAGCTACAGAGGACTACAAATCCCAGCAATAATACATTATATACAGCGCAATGCAGAATACCAGCAGCTACAGAGGACTACAAATCCCAGCAATAGTACATTATATTATAATGTACTATTGCTACATTCCTCTATAGCTGCTGGTATTCTGCACTGCGCCTCTGTATAATGTACTATATTGCACACCACACTTTTTTTTTACTTCCACCGCGCCAAGCTTGCTCCCGTGATGGACTACAATCTTAACACAAACTAGTCGTCAGTCACTGGAGCCTTTTTTTTTTTTTTAATTATCCGATTAACCGATTAATCGAACTTAATAATCGGCCAACTAATCGATTATGAAAATAATCGTTAGCTGCAGCCCTAGAAACATGATAGCTTGGGCAGAAATATAACAAAAGACTTTCCTGGGTGTATATATTTGTTTGATCTTATTGAAAACCAGTTTGAGGGTTTAATACTACTTTAAAATCTGCTTTTAGGTAAAGCTCTCTCCACTCAACCCCCACATGCAAAAATGCATTATAAGGTAAATAAAAATGAATTCATGGAAAGAAAAAGGAAAATATTCCTGTCTTGCGGGGGAATTGTGTGGTCATGAAGTGCTGGAACAAAATAATAATTGTATGCCCGTACAAGAGTGAGAATTTGTTTTGTTCATTTTGTAAATGGATATTGTCTTGCTGCATATACGATTTTCTGGCTTGGATACAAATGTATTATATTCAAGTTTCTATTTCCAAAACCGTGTTGCACATTCTATTGACACTGCCTTTCAGATTGCAGATTTCCTGTATCCAGTGTGGTTTGTAAACACAACATGTGGCCACACAAATATGTAGAGGCTGATCTATGTACATGGGAGGAAGTTGCTTGCAATGCTAACAGTGAAATATGGTGTGAGACTGTTGGTGTGTTCTCACCGCGCAGCCGGCCTCATTGTGGAATGGAATATAAATATACTTCAGGGTGCAATAGGCACAGTGGATCTTTTTTGGTAGCAAGGAGTTTGTATGCGTTCTTGGTCAGCTGCACAGCTGGCATCATGAGGGAATGAAATGCCATAGCCAACCCTTGGGTGTATTCTGCATCTGTTCCTTTTAGAAAATGATGAAGGTGCGATATGGTGGTAGACTTTAATAACAGCAGAACCCTTAACTGTTCTCTCAAGAACATTTAAGATTTTATTTTCTACTGCTATTACTGCTATATACTGCTACTGATATATTATTAATAGTTCGGGATTTAATTCCGTGAGACCTTTTTTAACCAAAAATGTGCACAAAAAAATGGTTATGTCACTATGATGTGTTTATGAGAGCATGCATTGCTGTTTCTTTTTATAATATAATTTTATTTTGTGTCTTTTTATATATATTGTATATTAATAATTATATATTATTATATATTAAAATTCCCTTGTGATCTTGTCCTGGATAGGATGTTCAGGGAAGCCGAGCTGAGATAGTTTGAGTCAACTGTTCATTAGCATGATGACTGTAAGTGTTTGGACAAAACTTTAAAGAAATAGTTTGATATGGGATGTATATTTGTTTGATCTGGATTCATTATAAAATAAAATAGTTTGAGAGTTTAATAATGCTTCAAGATAAATCTGTAGAAAAAGAATGTGGAGTCTGCCATTAATGACCTCTTATTTAAATTCTAGTTACCCGGCTGTTTCTTTCAATAGTGCTTTCAATGTGCTTTCAATAGCTTCAAAAGGTGCCCATACACTGTACGATTTGTCGTAGGAGAATCTCGGGAAATCCCGCGATCATACGATAATCGCAAAGTGTATGGAAGGCGTGCGAGCGTTTCTACTGTACGGTCGCACGTCTTCCGTCGAACAAGCAGGCTGGGAAACCCGCCGAGAATCGTACAGAGGACTTCTGCCATTTTACATGTCCAGAATATGGGCGTGATTTGAAGGGTATAGAGTTCTTTTTCCAATTTCCAGACATATTCAGCCCCTTCTGCATGCAGGAGATTCAACTCTGCTCTAGAAACTTTGCAAATATTTGAGTATCATTGTGCTACATACCAGCTGTTAAGTAGACCTTTCACAATTTCTACAATAACTCTTGGCATCAAGTGCCAGCCATCACATTATTGAGGTGTTCCAATGTAATATTTTCTTTATTTGTCTTCTGCCTACTAAACTATAGCCCTACATGGCCAGCTCTTTTGATTTAGCAAATGTTTACAGTTATTTCTTTATCTGATTCTTATAGTAAGACCAAGGAAACTGACCCAGAAGTTGTATTTAACCTACTTTTACTAGTGATGCACCGATACGTTTTTTTTTTTCCGGTACCAAGTACAAGTACCGATTATTTCCAGAAGTCCCATTAAGGAAGCTGGGCGGCGTGTAATAACTCACCGCCCGGCTTCCTGTGCTCCATGCTCCCTCGTCACCAGGTCTCGAGAAGGCATAGAGCCGCCTTTCTGACCAATAAGGAAGCCGCGTGACATGTAATTACTCACAGCCTGGCTTCCTTAATGGGGCTTCCTGATTGGTCGGGAAGCTGGCCAATTAGTAAGCCGGGAGTATTTGGGCGGGTACTGGAATTGGCACCTATACTGGTATCGGTGAATCCATAACTTTTACAATACAAAAATGCTACGTGCATAAACTACTTGGTTACAAGTAAAAACAATACAAAATACAGACTGCGACAATACATACACATGCATCCATTATACCCTTCTTTAGCACATGCAGTGATCTCTATAAGAGGATGCAATATAAAGTAGGGATGCACTGATATATCGGCCGAAAATTGCACTTTTGGCATAATGCCGAAAGAGCCATGTTTCGGCCGATACATCGGCACATCCCTGGTTTCTTTCCTCCCCGCTGGGCGCTGCTCTGTGTTCCAGCGGGGAGAAAAGAAAGTGACAGGCGGCCGAGCGTTGCAGGACGAGAGCGATGTGAGCGGCTGGCGTCTCTCCTCCCACACCGTTCAGCCGCCTATCACAGTCCGGCAGAGCGGTATGGGGGCAGAGACAGCGCTGTCACATGAGGCCGGGCTTTCCTCTCTACACCGCTCGTCGATCAGGCTCCTGTGACAGCGTGTGTCAGAGAGAAAAGCAAGGTACACACACTCAGCGATCAGTGATCACTGAGTGTGTGTGTACATAATTGAGGATATGGTATGTTAACTATATCCTCAATTATGAATGAATGGGAGTGATCTACATCTCACCTACATCACCTCCATTCATTCATAATTGTAGTTATAGTAAACAAACAATGTTCTCATGTTATGAATGAACAGGAACACTCATAGAGGATTTCTGTTCATTGATAACAGGGGACACAGAAAAAGAGATTGAGGACTCTGTGTTCTCAAACTCTTTTTCTATTTTAAAAGGGAAATATCAGGGGTCTGTTTAGACCCCTAATATTTCCCCGAAGACCCTAAAAGTAAAGTAAAAATAACAAAGATTTAATAAAAAATGAATTAATAAAAAAAAATATTAAAAAATTAAAAAGTTTATAAAAAATAAAATATTTTACAAAAATTGAAAAAATAAAAAACATTTTCGGTTTCGGCCTGACATTCTTTTTTTATTTCGGTTTCGTTTCGGTTTTAAAATTTCCATTTCCTTGCACCTCCTAATAAAAAGTCACTTAGCTTCACTTGTTGTTGGTCTACAAATTCTATATTGAACAGGACTTCGTGGTGATTAGGCATTCTCAGGAAAATGGCTTCTTGTTGTGGCTTAGTGTTGTCCTCTGTCCCAGTGAGGTCAACTTTCCTCAGTCCTGTTGATTGGTTTCTGCATATTCACCTTTATCCTAGTTGCTCCTATTCACTCACACGAGGAATCCACGAATGGCCCAAAGAACGCAATTATATATTTCTCACAACAGTGATTGGATGGCCACTGAAGTCTATTAGAAGCTAATAAACAGTGGCCATAATTGTATGTTAAGCGCCATTCTGTCTCCAAGAACAGTCTTTCTTATACAGTATACTACATTCACTCTCTTTCTGAGTCAATATTGGCTCTGACATTCCCAAAGCACCCCCTGTGTGCACAGCCAGTTGGTCATTTTCAAGCATATCAAAGTGATGTTTGATTTCAGGAAGACAACACTAAATATTTAAATCACTGACCCCTGCCACACTTGCTGAAGCCAAAAGGGGATCCTAACCATAAGGCTTGACAGTTGGCTTTAGCAAAGCAATGCAAACTCTTTTAATTGTACTGTTCCCAGAGAAGATACAGACTTATTTACAATTCTGTTCATACCTAGGTGGCATACATATCCTGTTGACCAGCTGTCTACATTTTCCCTCTACTGTTGTAAAGACACATGAGGCATTTTATGTGTCTAAGAAAAACTGAAGTGTGTATGTATGTATGAATGTGTGTGTATCACCAGTCAGCATGATTGGACTATAGCCTTGCAATTTATGTCAACATTTTTTAGGGACAGATAGAGCTTTCTTTTGGAGGTATATAATCAGAAAAAAAAATGTTTTCCCTACATTATGTTAAAAAACATTTATTCTTACACATATATGTTTGGTAAAATATAAAAGACGGGGTCATGTCAGGTAAATAGACATCAAGCCTCAAAATTTTGCGCGCACCTGCAAAATCGCACAAAACGACCCAACCGAAAACTGGCCATATGCCACGCTTTAATTGCATTTACTGCTCATCAGTTTATTGTTATCAGTGATTAATGGCCCTAAAATGATTGCTCTCACTGCGACGTTCGTGGTGATGTATAACATGTGTGGCACAATAGGCGCTCAGCCGTCCACAACTGGCTCCGCTGTCAGAGCTGATTTTTCAAGCCGTGTGTGTGTGTGTGTATGTATGTATGTATGTATGTATGTATGTATGTATGTATGTATGTATGTATGTATATAT